CGCGCTCCCCTCTGGCACCCGGGATACTCTGAGCTCTGCTCCTTCAGCCAGCGACCTACCGAGGCTCATTCCTGCCTTTTTTACCCCGTCTCCCACAGCCGCATGCTGCTGCCGGGCGCACAGCTGGTTCGCCGGCCTCTCCACCGCGTCCGTGCTTTGCGCCGCCTGCCCGCCCGCTCCCTCATGGACCTCCGGGAGCTCGTCTCTGCGCTGAACGACTTCGCGTCCCTCTCTCTGGCTGAAAGCTGGGACAACGTGGGGCTGCTGGTGGAACCAAGTCCTCCCCACACTGTGAACACCCTTCTCGTCACTAACGATCTCACTGAGGAGGTGATGGAAGAGGCAGTGCAGAAGAAGGCAGACCTTATTCTTTCTTACCACCCTCCTATATTCACACCACTCAAGCGAGTGACGTGGAAGACCTGGAAGGAACGGCTGGTGGTCCGAGCCCTGGAGCACAGAATCGGGATTTACTCTCCACATACGGCGTATGATGCCATCCCTCATGGAGTCAATAACTGGCTAACAAAGGGACTCGGTGAGATTCTGTTAAAAACAAACAAACAAAAAGGTTAAAATTATTCATCAGTATATGTTATTTTATGTGGAGACCTTCCCTCATTGTCCCTTCTTTCAGCTTTTACAGGTATGATTTGAGTACTTTTCTCCCCCCCCCAATATTCTTTCAGTACTTCTAAGTACCTTAACCATATTTTAGGGAACTTATCTTGGTGAGGAATACCAGATACAAACACTAGAGGACATTTTCAGATGCACAACTGTACTACCGGTTGCAGTCAGAACTGGTGCAGCATATTTATTGCCCATCTTGGCCGCAAAGTTTAGACTGCTGACTTTAAATCACCACCTTTAATTTATAAAGTGCAAGATCTAATTGTTTGCAAAGCACTTCAGGTATCTGAAACTCTTTCAGATTTTTATCCTCTATTGTGGCTCATAAATGAAAACAGGTATGTTTTTCCAAGTCTGATTTACAAACCAGAAACTATTTTGGTTTCGTACAATTCTTAGGATAAAATGAATGGCATTAAGAATGACAAATAATATGTATCCATCAGCCTCTTTGCACTTAAAATAGACTGTGCCTAATGGAGACAACAAGGCAAGAAGTCCTCAGTTCTGGTCAGGGAAAATTAATTCAAGTGCAAAATTTGCATCTTTTTATTGCATCTCTTTAGGATATGTGCTAAATCTGTATTAGGATACATAATCTAGCTTTATAAAACAGCAATCTTGTACTGTTTTCTCAGGTGCCTGTACTTCGGTTCCACTGCATCCATCAACTGCTCCAAGCTATCCTGCTGAGGGCACTCACCGAGTAGAATTCTGCGCAGACAACACGGAGCATCTGGACATGGTGCTGTCGAAAATCAAAGACATCCAAGAGATCTCCTGTCTCACTACTTTCCCTGCCAGGTATCAGCTTCACTCTCTACTGTTGTATTCTTTCTGTTCTTTGAAAAATAAGTTGCTGGAATTGTATTTTACTGTTGCAATCACTTTGTTCCTCTATCCACTGCTGCTGTATTTTTCAGCAACAGATCTAGAAACTTAAGGAATAATCATAAGGAATTATAGAATGTTTGAGTTGGAAGGAACCTGAAAGATCATGTAGTTCCAACCCCCCTGCCAGAGGCAGGGATGCCTTCCTCTAGATCAGGTTGCTCAAAGCCTCATCCAGCCTGGCTTGAACAATTCCAGGGATGGGGCATCCACAACTTCTCCAGGCAACCTGTTCCAGTGCCTCATCACCCTCATTGTAAAAAAATTTCTTCCTTATCTCTAATTGAAATCTCCCCTCTTTCAGTTTAAAGCCATTGTCCCTTGTCCTATCACTCCAGTCACCCCTTTCTGGTCAATCTATGTTATACTGAATGGTAACAGCAACTCAGTGTAGCATCACATAGATTAGAGGTGGTAAAGAAGAGTATTAACCAGAAATTCGATGAGAACAGTTGAGTTAAATTTCCATATCTGTTTCTTCCAAGAGAGTAGACTAGACTAGGCTAGGCTATTACAATGCCACTTTTTTTCCTTTCTCTGTGGTAGAATAGCCACTGGGATAGAATAGCTTTTGTTTTACATTAATATGATGCTGAAATTTTATCTGGTTTCTTAGCAAGCAGCAAGCATATCTTTCCTCAGGGTTGAAGGTGAGGAGCAAACACGAGTCAGTTTGAACTGCTCTCAGAAAGCACTGTTGGAGGTGGTTGCATTATTGTCCCAGAACAGCCGCCTTTACCACAAGACCGAGATTCTCTTACTACAAAAGGTAACAAAAACACGTGCTACTTCCAGTGAATGTGTTACTTCCAGGGAATGTATTACTTTGTGAACTGAGTGCCGTAACACTGAAATCCAATAGTCGGTGGCATCACAGTTTTCCTATGGTTCCCTGTTGGTGCTCTCAAGTACTAGCCTCTGGGGATTTGAGGCCATGCACGTTTTCCAAAACAATTAATATAGCTGTGTGGCCTGTACTAATTCTTAAATCAGTTCAAATAGCCAGTGTGGTTAGTACGTGACGTTCCAGAACATCGTACACATATTTTTTCATAAATTTCAGAGGCCAATGGATGCCCAATATACTCATCTTTCTACAGTATGAAAAGGAACATGAACTTCTGGAGTCAGCTTTCTCACAGTAATTTTAATCTCTTTTCAGCCTCTTCTGCCCCATACTGGAATGGGACGTCTGTGCGTGCTGAGCGAGCCAGTCTCTTTGTCTGACATAATTGAGCGTATCAAAAGCCACCTAAAATTACCTCACATCCGCTTAGCCGTGGGAACAGGCAAGACACTAGGTAAACAGGCCTGCAAGTAAGACTGTCTATTAGAACTAGTATTCCAGGAAGACAAGGAACGTGAGCGTGTGAAATACTGCTGCCTTGGATAGGTTTACTTCCAAGTAGTATGAATCACCGTTAAAGACAAGAAACAGCATTTTAGAATTTACATATACAATCACACAAAAAGAATCTCATCTATATTTTTAATTGGGAGTTCTATGTTATGCTGGTTGTTACTGTGAAGAAGGGACAGTACAAGTTGAATATGAGACATCCTTTTTTGTGATTTGTATAATGACTAAGATCCGGCCCCTGCCCAGGATATCAGACACCAATGTGTACCATTTCATTGTAAGCTCCCTTTTGTGACTGAATTTTAAATTTCAAAGCACCTTAAAATAGTAAGAAGCTTTATAGTATCCTTATGAACATGTAAATGTTCTGTTTTGATGAAAGATGAATAGCGGCAAAGCAGGTGAACTATCCTAGCTCAAACAGTGGGTCACTAGTAAAAAGTGAAGCAAGTGTCCTCTTATCCCAGTTACCTATCCTAATCTCCAAGGAGCACAGATATTAGAATTTGTGAGAGCAAATTTGTTGAGAGCTCTTTGTAACTTATGAGACAGAAGTCTTACTAGAAGCCTCTTATACTATCAATTGCATTAAAAAAAAAAAACAACAAACAAACAATTTTGAAGCCCCTCATTATGGTGTGGGATTGTAGTGGTGTGACTCCACTCAACAGTAATTACGTGGCAACATACTGTGAAAGCTTAATAGAATTTGAAAACTCTCTTTCTGTGTTGTGTGTCCCCTCTCCCTAGTGAATGTAGTATATATGGACAATTAAATTTCCTGTCACTATCACATATGTAACAGCTTGGAATTGGCAAATGGGCACATTTTTAATGGCATGGAGCAGCTGTCAGCTTGCACTGAGATTGGCCTTCTGAGGGCTAAAAGTTAGGAACCATTATATCTCAGAGGCAAAATGCTACCTTAGCGGCATTTTTAGCTGGAAAACTAATGACGGTGGAACATCATGGTAATGACCCTGGAAAGAGTAGCAGCCTATTAAAGGCTTCAGAAACCTAACTAAATAACACCTCTCTAGGAGGGAACTAACCAACAGCCAGCCTCCATGCTGTGGTTCCCTGCAAACTTTCCTACCCCTTGAAGAAAAAAAATCTACATATCTGTTTGGTACACAGAAGATTTTGATGTATCAGTGATGTTATAGGCCCAGGACTCTTTCAAACTGGCAGAACTATGTCTTCCTCCAAGATATTTACACTGACCCTAAAATCAAGGTAGCAGTTATTGTCAAACAATGAATAGCAATACTGACATGAGGGCTAAACAGAGGGAAAGGAGTTTAACGGTGGCACCTTGTATCCTGCAGAATCACCAGTGAAGAAAGCTGCTCTGTGTGCTGGTTCTGGGAGCAGTGTCCTGAAGGGAATGGAAGCTGACCTCTATCTCACAGGTAAAATACTATGTTGCTGTTTCATTATCTTTACAGAAATAGTCACTAGGAAAAAGGAAAAAAGAACAGAGTTGACTGGCTGATGAAAGATTTGGCCAGAAAGAATTGCCTGTTACAATTGAGAAACAATCAGTTAGTTACTGGAATGATAGGAGAATAACATTAGAGATATTGTGGATCAGATGGCTGCGTGGCACAGTGAAGGCTATTTGAATTAAAACATTGCTATACTTGCATTATTTCAACACAAAATCAGTGTTGATGGTACCCTATTGCGACCTTCAGTGTGTCTCTCCTTTGGCAAGATACGAGGTATTTCCTCAGTTCCCTACAGAATTCCTTAGTGGAAAATGGAACATAACATAGTCTACAGAATCTTTAAGGAGCCCCATAGTGTATCTGACTAAAGGGTTACTTACGCCATTATACTCTTTTCCTAAAGCGGGAGAGCTACTCCCTACAGCTTGCTCAGCAGCTTGAAGGCTGCCTTGCATTCTGTAGTATTTAATTGGAGCAAGTTCTTTGGCAAGGCGTGTCCCATCTGCCCCTTATATACAGCCCTGCAGAGCTGACCCTCAGCCAGCTTTCTTCACAAGGCTTCCCCATTGCCGTCCTCCGTCACAGCAACCCACGTGACATCCAGACAGTCCGCTTTCAAACCACTCTGCGCACTCTTACTTCCTGCCCAAAGTGGCAGAATCTACCGCTGTTCAAAGAGGGCAAGGAATTTCCGAGCTTTTGTCTCAGTTGTATTCAGGGAAGGTATCAGCTGGAAGTCCTTCAGCGGACACTAGAGTAGGAGTGTGCCATGTTCTTCAACTGAGCAGATGGTGTTGCATTCCCCCTTACGGGATCTATTCCCTATTACGCCTTCCCAGCTTCTAGCTAAGATTCTGCATACATTGCAAAGAACTGGTTACATAAACTGTACTGTTAGTGATCTACATTGCATTTCTCTCTCAAAACGGCAGGAGAGATGTCCCACCATGACGTCCTGGATGCAGTTGCCAATGGGATAAGCGTTATTCTGTGCGAGCATAGTAACACTGAGCGAGGCTTCTTGTCAGAGCTGCGTGACATGCTAGCTATCCATCTACAGAACAAAATCAACATAATTGTGTCTGAGAAGGACAGAGATCCTCTCCAGGTGGCATAGAATAAAAAAAAAGTAGGAGAGAATTCAGTCAAGAGTTTCATGGTATCTTGCACAGACCTATCCAACTGCAAGCTTAATGAAGATGCTCTGAATTGGTTCAGTACAGAATGATTGTATTGTATGTTCCCTCAAAGTTTGGGATATATTTTGTTGTCTGTCAGATAAATAAATGTTTGGTTTGGGCTAGTGAAGGATGATTTACTCAATTACTGGGATGCACTTGAATGAATTTACTGTTACTGCATATTCTTATTAGATACATTTGATAACCATGATACTCAAGCATTGATTTGGGTAAAATAAAAAAAACCGACTTATCTCCAGTTTTAAGCTTACACAGCAGTTCTGCCCTACTGCAGTTACGTCTTATCATGTCAGTACAAGTCACTGATATTTTAGCTAATACATTAACTATTATCTGGAGATTTAACACTTGTATTAAGACACCACTTATATGCAAATATAGAACACAATTCAGGTATTTGGTCGTAGTATTCAACTGCACCATTTACCATTAATGCAGCTTGAAGGCTTTTTGATGGGGGACTCTCAAATGAAAAAAGCTTTGGAAGGTTACAACTCAATTCCTTAACAAAGCTGTAAACGAATTTAATGTGCCTTTGTTACGTTCTTTTAAAAACTAAGTAACTATGGCTCTTAATTACAGGATTACTAAAACTGAACAAGTAGCATTTTCACCACTGATAATGCTTGGTTTTTATTTTTTAAGTTAGGTTTTTTGTTGTGTTGGGGTTTTTTTGTTGTTGTTGTCGTTGTTTTAAGAAAAAAATTATCCCAGTTGCATACCTTACCATCTCTGGATTATGTCCACACCAGTATATTTAAACAAAATGAAAGTATTTCCATTGTAAATTTGTAAAGATCTTGGCACCATCCTTTTAAGTTAATAAAACTGGCTCATCAAGCAATATCTTGTTCCACTTAAATCTAAGTGAAGAGATGACTCTAGTATTATCTGAAGCTACTGAGACTATATAAAGGTAATAATTCTTATCAATACCATGAAGACCTCTTGGTAAGCTGAGGAACAGGAAGCGGAAAGAAATTTCTTCTTTCCCAAGTAAAGGAAAGGACTGCAGAAGTGATCTCTCTAAATCCAACAGTTCCGTATTGCTATAGAAGACATGAAAATGCTACTACCTTAGTACATATGCAGAATTCAAGAGACAGAAGATTAATGCATAGATGGGGTAGTTGTCCAGAAACAGCACGAAATCAGGATAAAACATTTTTAACACAAAACCACCAGGAATTACTTCACAGTAATTTTCTTTAGCTTGCGTGATTGCATCACAGCATCAGCAGCAGCCAAAAACCAACCAGACTTAACCTTCTCTTAGCAGATGCATGGTATCTCCTGCAGCCCTCCTCTTGGCCTCTATGGGCATCTGGTAGTCTACCAAAACTCTTGGCAGGTAACTCTAAACTCAGGATGATTATAGCACTTCATTAAAGTAAATTTCACATCTAGAAACCCAAATACACTGAAAATGCACCACGGTATCGCTATCTGTGAACACATTAGGTGGTGTCTTCCATATGTACTCAGAATATAAATCTTGAGTTTCGCAGGAACTGTGGAGAGAGTCAAAGGACTGCAAAATAGGATGTGGCTACTGCTTGGCTACCATACGTTTTAAGTTTCTCCAACAACATAGCTCTTCAAGTGGCAGAGTTCTGGAACTCCACACCTAATGTACAGAACTTGGGTTGATCGCAGTTTTAGTGGTTCTAATGGTAGCCTAAGTAGTGATAGGCAGGACCTGATGTACTTTGCAAAGTTTTGGAATTGCAGCCTATAAAATGCGGATGCAAGTGCCACCAAAAGAGAACATTAGTTGGAAAGCGTTCTGGGGAAGGAAGCTGGAAAGTACTGCTGGCATGTACCAGTTTTCCCTCTCAGACTCTCCAGCAAAGCTAATTAGGTCCTATATTTGAAGAATCAAATTGTCAATGGGAGCAGTTGATACACTGTGTTTTAATAAAAACAAAAGTCAGGCTGTAAACCTCTGTCTGTTGCTTCTGTCAGTGAGGGGCAGACCAGGCAACAATGTTATTCCACGTGACATTTTGGTTCTCTTCAAAAGCTATATGCTGGTATTAAAGGCAGGCAAATTATTTCTAATTTTGATACCTTATAAGAAACAATATAAAATATTTTTCTAATTAGTTTGAAGTCTTCTGCACACTATGTGAGGACTTGCACGGATATTTGACATAATGAAAAAGAGGCTTTCCCACAATTGCCAGAAGGATCTCCATCTTCCTATAACACAAAAAGATGGTGGAAGACAAGACAAGCTAATAAAAATTTAATTCAAAGTACTTTATTTGATTGAACTATTACAATATTGAGCTGTAACACAGCTACCAAATATTAGACATACAGAGTCCCTGAAGTCTGGCTGGCAGACTACAATTGATGGAACTATAGGGCTTACTCCCACATACCTGAGAAAAAAAGTGAAAAGCTGTCAAACTTCAGCAGTCTCCCAACCTCTAAGGGCTTAAAAAAAGGGAGAGCTTTAAAGTGGCATTTAAGGCTTCCTCCAGGATTGGCGGACGCTGCTGATGTAAAAAATACATATATACAATTAAGCTTTTAAAAAAGAAACAAAAAAAAAAACCTTCATAGCCTCTTCATATTCCTGGATTGCAATTTGGAAAGTAGATGAAGGAAGCTGGATCCTCTCACCCTCACCAACAGGCAATGACTTGAGTCCATCACAATTTTGATTATCTAAATCTTCTTGTAAAAGGATTTGGGTTTGGGGCAAGTCCTTCAGTTCTATTGCCAGAATTTAATAAGTTACCCACAGTGTCCCAAACCCACCAGTATTCTCCTTTCCTCATGCAGTCAAGGCAGGTCTCTTAGCATTATAAATCGTGGCTTCTTCATAAATTGGAAGCTAGTCTTGTCTAACTGGTAAAGGAGTACTGGAAAGCACTCAGTTGAAAAGTTGCACCACTAGTACAAACTAAAGCTCTGACCATCTAGTGATTTGCACTTCCCAAGTAAACTGCTCCATCCAAACCCTCGTGTCTGGTGAGGTGGAGAGCAGAAGGCACAATCTTACCGAGTTTGTTTTTCTGGCTGTAAGGTTGGCTGCATAGATATGAAGAAGGCATCATCTGAGCTAAGAGACAAAGCAGACAAACTTAACTACAGCGCAAGAGATGCCTTGCTTACAGAAGTCATCATTCCAAACTACCTAAAGTAGTTGAATAATGAGCATTGTTCATGACAATTATTACATTTCAGTAAGTAGTCCAGCACCCTTGGGGTTGGAGGGAGAGGGATCCGAGTATAGGCCCCTCTCCAGCAGCCCTTGAGAGCAATTGTCGTAGACGCTTTGAGAACAGAGAGGTGTTATGCATCTTCATCCTCTTTCTCTAAGAAGTCGGTCAAGGTACTGTCATCTATAGGAATTAATAAGTATTCCACACCATCAGCTCCCTGAGAACAGACATGCATACACATTCTATTAACACCAGTGCACAGTGCAATGCAAGCCACCAGACAGCACTGCAATGCTAATGTTTATTTGTGGTCTGGGTGAGGGCTGGCCAGCATTCGCAAGGACTACGTTGCTAAAAATCAGGAATATTTCACTAAAGCAACACTGGAAACACAGAAATACTGAGAAAAGTCAGTATATGCAAAATCTTCTGGTGGGTTATGCTAGTCTGACACTACAGAGCTCCTCAACACTGTGTTCCCACATCAAGTACTGCTATACTGCCTTGTTATCAAAACTGACCTGCATTCTTCCCTTGTGCAAATACAGGTAACTATTGGAAGTAGACTGGCAGGCTCCAGAATTTGTTACTTCTTCAGGTCTTCAGGAATAAGAGACCTGTAGGTTGCTGAGGAACCCAGACACACTGCATTTTTACAGCCCCCTACCCATGTAAAGGTTGTTTACAAATTTAAGGCATGAAAGGAACTGCAATTACAGAATTTGAGCCCTTTGCTAGTTCCTAGGTGCCTTGAACAACAGAGCCACACTGTGAACTCCAGAGTAGTGTCTTAGTGATACTCAGTAGCAAAAAACCATCTTTTTTTGTTTAAGGTGGCTGAATTATCTTATTCCCCCAACTCACCCGCTTGGTCCGGATGAGCTTGTGGTCCCTGAATTCTGTCAACTGTGCCCTGAGTGTCAGGTCACTGTTGACAAGGAAAGCCTCCCGACACTGCTGGTAGAAGTCTTGGAAAGACAGCCCTGGAGACAGAAAAAGGCGAAGACAACAGATTGAAGTGGTAAGATTCTCAGATTTTTCCAGGTCTAACACCACATTATCTCCACCTACAAATCTTGCTTTGGCTTAGAACACAGTGGCTACAGTAACATCATAATGTCTTTCAATTATAATACAGCCAAGTTAGTATTTCAGTAATTAATGGAAAACAGCTGAACTAACATTCCAGTCACTCTGTTTGCCTAATAGAATTTCAATAGCCCTTTAAATGCACTTCCCAACATGGTTAATTCTCTCTTGATTTCCAACTCCTCTATCTTCCAATTTTCTTTACCATTAACATGTTATTCATATCCCCTGCAGCACCTGTTAGAGACAGTGACAGACATAGTGACACAAGTATCCTAGAAAGGAGGGACAAGAAACGTGCAGCATAGGAACAGAATCTCCTGTCTTTCCCTGGTCCTTTAAGTGATAGTCATGCAAATTCATATTCTTCCTTTATTTTAATTTTTCAACTCCATAGCCCCCCCCCCGGAGTGGTCTCAGTCATGTCTAAACATCAAAGCAGACAACAGTAAGAGAAGGTCCTTCAGAACCAGCCAGTCTATTGATTTCCTGTCAGAGTCAGACACAGTACCACTAGAAAGACAGTCTACAGCACCGAGTCTCACTGAGCCAACAGTTACAGCACTTCTGTTGGTGGTGATTTAACCTGCATACCAAAAGCCAGTGCTGCTGTGATAGAGCTGGCAATGGCAATACCCTAAATAGATGAGAAAAGGTGGGTACATACCTGGATAAGATGGGTTGTCCTTGTTCTCCAGCTGGTCCTGAGCAAGCAGTCTGAATATCCCCCTAAGTAAAAGGAGGAGAGGGGAAAATGAAAAAAAAAAATCAAAGAAACACAACACCCAAAAAATCTCACCATTAGAAAACATTAGCTGATTCTTCCCT